GGCTACCTCTGAAGCCTGAATAAGGAGAGCACGTTTGGAAGAAGTGAACTAAGCTCAGCGGGAACGACCACCACATCTGTGAGAGGAAGCGAGGCTCTCAACGCATCGCTTCTCACGGCAACCACGCAGATACGCCTCAAGCAGCCCTTCAGGGCGTGAGCCCGCCAGGCGCCGTGACTAAAGCAGCGCTGCACGACAGCTGCCCGAGGCACCGCGCAGCGCGGGCTGCTCTTTATAGTGCGCTATTTTAATCGCGCTCGCTCATTGGCCACCTCCCGCATGACGACAGCGGCTCTCCCGGGACAAAGTCCCCTCTGCACCTCCTCCCCGCACCCTCCCTGGGTGCTAGGGGTGGCGACCAAGGTGCGGCGCGAACGGCAGTGCTCGTGCGCATGCGTAGTGGTCGCGCGGGAAGGAGAGCCGCCACCCGGTTGGGGGTGCGGTGCGCCCTGTGACAGCCCAGCAGGGCAGTGCTGGGAGCAGCTCCTGGGCCTGTGGGTTGTGCTGTACTGGCAGGGCAGGGCAGAAAGGCTGTGGCTTCTTCCCTAGCTAGGGATGAGGGAGACAGGAATTGCCCCTGACTCACGGCCCTCCGTACCCTTTAAACTCAAAATGGGGGCGGGGAGCAGAGAAGGTTCCCGCCGAGCTGGGCTGAGGGCTGCTGCCGGTGCGGCGGGTGGGCTGGGCAGGGCAGGGCAGGGCAGCGCCACCCGAGGGCGGGGCGGTGTAAGGAGCCTGCAGGCAGGCTGCGTCAGAGCGGGGTGTAGGAACGTGAGGCTTGGCATCTTGTGGGCAGCGTCTCATGGTGCTGCTGTCACCTGTCTATTGGTGTCCCCGTAACAGAGAAGGGGTGAAAGGCTGGCAGGGGAGGCAGCTGTGAGTATGGACCTGAGAGGAGAGGGAATGGAAGAGTCCCACTGCTGTGTCAGTCTGTTTGTGAAAGTGCTAGGGTATTTGCAGGGAGTGAGTGCACAGGTAGCTGTGCTGCCTTCAGCTGTGCCAGGCTTCACAGAAGTGTTCTGCCCTCAGAAGTGCTGCACGTGGGCCCCTGCAGACCCCTGATACTAGCAATGTACAGCAAGCCCTAACTCCATTCAACTTTGTTGATTTTTATTTCCAGATATGAGCGTGCTTACTTACCCTACTCCTCCAAAACAGGATCATATAATCATAGAATAATTTGTGTTGGAAGGAACTCTTAAAGGTCATAGTCCAACTCCGCTGCAATGGACAGAGACATCTGCAGCTAGATCAGGGTGCTTGCAGCCTCTCCAGCCCAACCTTCCTTGTCCCCAGAAACAGGGCATCAGTCACCTCTCTGGGCAACCTGTTCTAGTGCTTCACTACCCTTATGGTATTTTTTTTTCTTCTTATATCTGGTCAAAAACAATATCTTTTCACTTGAAGTCATTTCCCCTTGTCCTGACACAACAGACTGTGATAAAGAGTCTTTCCTGTAGCTCCCCTTTAGATGCTGAAAGGCTGCTCTCATGTCTCCTGAGGGCCTTCTTCATGCTGAATGGTCCCAGCTCTCTCAGTCTGCTCTCGTAGGAGAGGTGTTTCATCCCTTGGATCATTTTTGTGGTCCTCCTCTGGATGTACTCCAGCAGGTCCATATCTCTCCTATATTGCCCCACCCCTGGAGGTGTTCAAGTCCAGATTGGATGGGGCCATGGACCGCCTGGTCTAGTATTAAATGGGGAGGTTGGTGGCCCTGCATGTGGCAGGGAGGTTGGAAATTCATGATCCTTGAGGTCCCTTCCAACCCTGGCCATTCTGTGATTTCCATATCTGGGTGCAGTACTCCAGGTGAGGTCTCACCAGCATAGAGTATAGGGGCAGGAGGTAACACAGCTCAGGCCACTGAAGATTTATTTTTGGCATATAGTGCAACCACTTTGTGAACATTTACCACATAGGCTAAATATGTTATCAGGTCTTGGCGCCACTCAAAAATAGCCGCCGGAACACCTGGCAGATAAAAGACGTGTTATTTTCATACTCTGTATTTATAGAAACAGTTGGTGATTATAGTTGAGATGTATGCTTTCAGTAGCTGCAGTCCCTCTTGCCTCCAGTAGGATTGCTGGTATGCACCTGATACTAAGGTCAGAAAACTCCTCTGCGAACATAGAAAGATAAGATTGCTATTTTATGTGGTCAAAGAGCTCAACATGTGCTGTGTGCCACTCTGTTCTGCGAGGACAGTCGAGTTGTAATTGCCTGGTATTCTTCCATGGGTGTGGATTTTCCTCCAGTTAATCAAACTCTGTTAAAGTGAGACAGTGCTCTGAAAAAGGCTCAACTCAAATATTAGCTTGACAAACCTAGCACAAGACTTGCCAAGCAGAGATAATTACCTCCCTTAAATCTTCCAGGAATCACCATCCGTAGAGTTCTTGGATGTAGTAATTGGAAGAATGCAGCAGTTGAGCTATGTGGAGATAGATGCGGGAAATCCCTAAACAAAAGGAAGGTCTGTACACACTGCAATTTCTGGCAGTGAAACAGGTTTGAAATGCAGCAACATATTTGTGTGGCCTGGTGATACTTGTGTAAACCCTTCATCTCCCAAGGAATTTGTCTGTGCAAAGATGATCTGTGTTAATCTGGAGCCTGAGCCAAAAGAATCCTGGATGGCTTCTGCCAGGGGATAGACCTACCACATCCTTAGCACACAGACAGGAAAGAGTTTTTTGAGTCTTGTCTGCTAGCATCTATAGTAAAATTTTACTTGGACTTTGACTGGTTCAGTTCACACTTTATCCTGATTCAGATCATGTTTTGGCAAGTGGAGTTACAACATAATACATAAACTTTGCAGAAACTTTTTCTGTTTGTCCAACTTCTGTTACAGCATTTCAGAACCTGCTTGTGTTATTGCTTAAAGAAACTAATTACTCTCGAAAGTATTTAATTGTTTAAAGAATTTGCTGCTAGTTCTTTGTAATAAAAATTCCTCATAATTTCTAAAGAGCAACCCTGGCTACTCATCTTTTATACACTCAGAGCTGTATTGTGCTTTTATGTGCATTTACATACGTAGTACTGCTGTAAGAAGAACAGAGAAATGCATTCTTCTCAGCATCACTGTTTTCTTCTTTCAGAAGAAATTGCCATATTCCATACCATGGGATTACCAGCATATAGATTTTACACAAGCTTCCATCCACTGATGATCACATCTAGACAATAAAAGCAAGGAACCTCTTGCCTCTCACATACAGAGTTTAATTAAAAGGCCATTAAAACTTAAGAGAGATTTTTCAAGATTTTTAATATATTTGACAACACAACCTCAGTGTGTGTCAGGATTCACAGGATTTTTGATGAAGCCTACCATTGAATTGTCTTTACTGGGAAAAAGGTTGGTAGGAAGTAGAAAGTAAAGTTTGTTGTTTTTACACAGATCTGCCTTGTCTGGTTAGCTCTGTCCATGTCATTTGTTTTGGGTTGCTCTATCCAAACAAAAAAAAAGGTAATTTTTAGTTTAATAACAGACTCAATTTTAAGACAATTTCCAGTGATTGGAAAGTCAAGGTTCACTGACACTAAGGTTCAAATATACGCAACACAATTTCGGTCTTATTCCCTGAGGAGTGGTTTTGAAATGATCCATACATCCCAAACGCTTCAGTAAACTACAGTTTAAAAATAACATGAATACTTACAAATCCATCTGTCAGCTAAGATCTTTCAAAAGGTAGTATTTGAATGCAAACTTTACGACTCTTGAGCTGACTATCAACTGCCTGGTCAAGCTGAGCACTACTGCTGACATTGGGAAAATAATCCTTGAATGTTTGGCTTATCCCCTGTAACTGAAGCAAAAACAGATTCTCCAGCTCCCACTGACTTCACTAGGAATTAAATGAGGACTTGTGTCAAAAGTAAAATGCAGGTCGTTCCCCAACATTAAAACAGTGAAACTTCATTGTTAGTGGAGGTCTTGCATGCTTTTTGTCACTTAAGTGTCATAATTGCAGGTTACTGGAACCAGCAGTTTTACTACCACCAGCAAACAAGTGAAGTTTTGCTCTCACTAGAGGTCTCATCTACTGCAGGAGAGAACAAAGGATCTGTGAGTAGTGTTTAAAAATCATGTAGGTCCTGTTTTTGTCTTGCCAGTGCAGTGGCCAAATCTGCAGTGCACAGCTCAGTTTTCTCAGACCCCAGGATGTCAGAGAATGAACTGTAACAGCTTGTAAGTGACAAAAGTTATAGTCATGAAAGGTGCTAATTTTAGGTTACAGTTGTTGGCATATTTGTAATCGATTTCATAAAATCAGATTCCACCTACCTCATCATTAAACAATTAAACTGGGAAAGGTAGTGAAGTGAATTTGTCACATGCAAAGGTTTTTTTCCACCAAGAGCCAACTGTTGGCAACCTAATGAGAGTCTGAAAATCTGTTTGCAAAGCCAGTCCTGTTGCTTGTTCCAAATGTTACTGCATAGAAAAATAATTGCAGCTTTTATCAGAAAAATGTGAGCTCCAGAGTTGACAGAAATGGTGCACAATTTTGTAGAGGAAAACGTAGAGGTCATTTTGCATGCATGGATCATTAAGGGAAGGAACTGCACCAGAATGTGGGAGGATAGAAAGCAAAGGTCTGAGAAGGTCTTACACATGCAAGAAAACAGGGCAACTTGTATGTTGCAGAGACTTACAATGTGAAAATCACTTTTACTGACAATCACAGTTCTGAGAAGTTGTCTTGTTAACCTGAATGGATTAGTCAAGCATTTTTCTCCTGTGGAGAAAGAAAAAAAAAAAAAAATGTAATGAAATTTGGAACCTGTTCTGTGATATAGAGAACAAGAACAGAGGAGAATCTGCTTCTCACACTGAGGCAGATAGGACAGGACAATACAGGAGCTTTTACAATTATGTCTTTGTAAATACTTTCAATTTTTGAAGAGTATTTTAAGACGATTGTAAGAAATTGCTGATGTTGAGGAATAATCACAGTTCCTAGTATTTCCTTTCTTACCTTTTTGCTATCAGGTGCCTGTCCTGGGCCTGCTCCTCAGTGACTGAAACTTATGAGCATTTTGGAGCAAGGCCAGGGTCTCTCTAATGCTGTATTCAAGCTGCATGAAGCAGAAGTCATATAGCAATAAGAGAAACGTTGAGTTTAAAAAAGCATGTTGGAATCATTTTCAGTTCCTCATTTTTTTCATTAACAATGTTGCTTTACTTTCACGTGGCTGCAGGCTGGTAACACAGAGTGCTTAGGCTGAACTAAAAGTGCTTGGTTTCCTCTGTAGTGTTGTGTTTGCTCACCTGAGTGTGCCAGTACTTCCATAGAAATGCAGTACTTCATGCAACAAAGTATTTATATGGCACTGTTGTAAAGCAGGCCATAAGTTACTTCCTTTACTTTGGGGTACATTCTGCTCAGTGTCATACTAATTGACTATTAATAATTAGTGAAAAAAGTCATGAAGAATAGTAAATCTTGTTACGCTGTTAATACAATATTTACTGGCTGCTGTAGCAGGCCCTTTCTCTCTTGCACGTGCTGCCCCATCCATCTGTGGCAGTGAAGGTCCTCAGGTGTCTCACAGCAGTCTGTTCCCAGCACAGAGCACCTCTAGCCAGCACAGAAGCTGTTTATAACAAGGGTTTTATTAATTGCTTGCACAGAACAAAGTTCTCAGTCCCACCATGCCCAGTCATTGTGGCAAGGCCTGGATGGGTAATTCCAAGCAATTCCTACCTGAGAAACCTCCTTGATTGCTGACTATCGACAGGTGAAAGAGTTTTTCAGACAAATTCAGGGTGAGTCACACCTTCCTTCCTTCCTAGGAATAAGAATTGTTGCTTTATGCCTCTCTCCACCACCCTTTCCTGTCCTTCTTAATCTGAGGTGAGAACCAAGGCCCTCAGTACAGCTTCCTCCCCATCTGGGGTGAGGAGGGAAGGGTCTGCGCTGCACAGTAGCACCACTGACAGGAGAAAGAAAAGAAAAAAAAAAAAAAAAAAAAGCAGCGTTGGGTTAGAGGGTGCAAAAGGATAATGGAGGGATAATGGAGCAGAGCAGGGCAGCCAGGCTTTTGAGGATCCCAGGAAGCAGCATATCGCTGTGAGGTACATAGCTTCAAGCTGGAAATCTTGTAAATAATAATCCTTGAAGAAGGGGTGAAGGAGAAACTTCGATAATTCAAACAGTAGCTTCACATTTACCTTCCCTCTCTTTGTTTTTACTTATGCATAGCCAAGTCTGCCTGACCTCCCTTGTGCGAGCACTGCCACCAAACATCGTTTTGTATCATGAATAGCATAGGCCAGCAGGACTAGAAAGGTTATCATCCATCTATGGTACTCAGCTCTGGAGAGGCTGCACCTCAAGTACTATGTTCAGTTTTGGTCCCCTCACTGCAAGAAAGACACTGAGGCCCTGGAGCATGTTCAGAGAAGGGCAACAAAGTGAGGGGTCTGGAGCACAAGTCTTATGGAAAGCAGCTGAGGGAACTGGGATTGTTTAGTGTGGCAAAGAGGAGGCTCAGGGGAGACCTTATCATTCTCTACAACTGCCTGAATGGAGGCTGTGGCGAGGTGTGTGTCAGACTCTTCTCCCAGATCACTAGCAAGAGAACCAGAGCAAATGGCCTCAAGTTGATGAAGGGAGGTTTGGGTTGGATATTAGTAATAATTTCTTCTCAGAAAGAGTGGCAATTGGAACAAGATTAGTATAATTGTTGAGCCCCTAGTTTGTTCTATTCATATCATCTTAGTTCCCTAAAGAACAGAGAGCTTACCTCTTCCACCCTTACCTGTGTTTAAATAAGATTGCAGAAGAAATCAGGTAATAGCACCATGACTAAAAGGAGCAGCATTGGACCTGTAAACTCTTACTAAATGCAAAAGAGCATGCACAAACTCTAAACCTAGTGTTTGATAAGGCCCATTAAACAGGTGGATTACTGTGATTTTATGCTCAGACTGATAGAATCAGTCTGACTCTGACCTCACACAAGTGTAAAAGAATTTCTGACTTTGTCCCTGTATGCTGCGTGCAGGTCTTTGGATAATGCTTAAACCACAAACACAGTTCAAGGTTATCATTTCACATTAACAAGGCTTGGCTGAGACAGTAATCTAAAGTAACCAATTAAGAATTGCAATGAGAACCTGTGCTGAAATCACAGAATTTTCTCTGCAAAACCTCTGGGTTACAGGCCTGATCTGGATGGCAGGGCTTTGACACTAAGGCAGGACTGCAAGTTTGAGAGCTGTGGGAAGGGGTGCACTCACAACCACCACTTTCATACTCTTCTTTGCAAGTAGTTTCACTACAGCTGAGTTTGCCATAAATAGGTTCCACAGAATTAGTTTCTTGGTCTAAAAATGATCCATTTACCTTTTTTCCTAAAGTTCTGAGATTGCTTTTAGGCTGTGAGTTGGAATCCATCTGGGTGCTGGATATGCAGCACTGCATTTCTTCTCAAGGGAGGAAAAGCTACGTTTATTAGAAGAACAGCAAAATAACCTACATTCACATCTCAACCCTGCAATGTGCTTGTCAGTGCAAGCTTTACTGGGTTCTTTAAGGATACTAATTACAGAAATACATTGTTTAAGCACACGCAGTTGCTGCAATTGTTTTTCCGAAGCATTAACAACTCAAAGAAAAACATTATACTCAAAATTAAAAACCTCAGCCTCAATTTTGCAGTCATGGTTAATATCAGTGGTCAAAGATTTCAGGGCTAGGAGAGAGAATTTAGATTATTTGCCTTGTCTACCATGAAACTCAGGTTGTCAGATAGGAATGCCAATAACTTTTGTTTGGGGCTTTGTTTGAGTTAGATTGTTCTGCTGAAATTTAACACCTGCAAAAGCAAACAAAACTTTTCCTTGCTTCTTATTTAAGCCATTATTTACTCACCATTGCTGTGTAGTGGCATTTGAAACATAATACTTAATTGCTTGTTGAAGCATAGAAAAAGAAATAGTTTCAAATACTACCCACTGGCTACTATGGTGAAATGGTCTCCATAATCTTACTTGAAACAACAATGCTATTTCAAAAGTCCTTAAGCACTGCACTACTATACTGCATGCTGCATTTTAATATAATTCCTGTACAAAATATTTTTTTGTTCCTTTTTTATTTTTTTCAAAATAAGGGTGCAGACTGAACTCTGAGACAAGGAGGAACTTTGTGCAAGAGTCTGTGCTGTTATCTAAAGGTTATTGTTTCTTATCTGTACAGATCCGTACAACACAGCTAAACCCACTACAGTGATGAGTGAGCAGCTATTTCAGGCAATAGGGGTAGAAGGTAGAGAGTAAATGCAAGGAAAGAACACATTTAGATATCAGCAGTACAGTAAGAAAGTGTTCTTTGCTGTGACATTGCTTACTTATGGGACAGTCTCCTAAAAGGAGCAGGAGAGTTGCTACCAATTTGAATAAAATTGGGGAAAAAACATTGTGTTGCTGGAGGCAGTTGTGCTCAGAAAGAAACTGTTTGGATGAAATGCTGCTTGACAGCAAAGAGAGCTTTCTTGAGTCCTGTCCGCATTGCTTTCCTGTGACACCCTAGCTGCAGGTCTCCAGGATGCTGGTAGCTCCTCCCTGGCACACCTCCTGTGCAGGGGGTCCCCACATAGGGACGGACGGGTGGCATTCTTCACAAGGACATCCAGCTCTTACTCCACCCCGTGATTCAGCTGCACATTCACACCCAGTTTTGTTGTCGTTTCTAAGGCCCTTTTGGCATTCTCCTGTCTCATAGCATAAGGCTGGTGAAGCAAATAGCTAAACTCAGGACTGTTGGTCTTCCCACTCTTCTCAGTGCTGCTGTCCTGTGTTGCAGAGCAGCCACAGAGAGCTTGGCAACAGAACTGCCCCACAAGCCAGGCCTGCTGTGTCCGCATGGAGTGCTGAACCCTTCTTTCAGGCTCTTGCAAACAAGCCTCAAAGACCAGTTTCTCACTGACAGTAGCCAAGAAGCTGCTCATGGCTCCATGCCCAGAGTGCTTGGACACTGAATTGAGGTCACACCTAGGAAGTCTGTGCTTCAATGCACTGTGTCAAACCAGGCCGCATTACCTGGTATGGCCTAGTAATAAGCCCTTACATTAACCACATCCACATAAGAACCATGTTTGACCTTAAAGCTGAACTTCACAAAAGAAAGCTATGATTGATATTATGCTTACACCTCACTTCCCATCTGTCCTGGCAGATAGACCACAGTCAGGGAGACCAACACAGAGCAACCCAGTTTCTTAGAGGAAAGGGCCATAGCAGTGTATACATGCTTTTGGACCAACATGGTTCACTTGTGTCTACAAGATGTTTCCAGCTCCTAAGCTCCTGGTCTCAGATCTGCAAGGCCAAATGACGTTGTTGGGAAAAAGAAGCAAACCAATTGGATACAGAAACTCTACTTCATGTTTGATTGCTGCAACTACTATGATTTACCACACCAAGATAATTAAACATACCAAACAATTAGCTCATGAACTATCAGCTCTGGGGTCACCAGATCCTCTGCCTCGACAGATACCAGGTAGAAGGACACAACACCCTGCTTCTTGTGTCCAGCAGTAGCTCATCCTTATCCTCCCACACTTTAAGTGTTTGAATGTCAAATCAGAGCCATGGACTAGCAAATCTGACTCCAAAAGCATTCCTAGCAATTACTGGGAGGGTACGTGGATGAAACCTGGCACAAAAGGTGATCATAAGGTTACACGTTATGTATAACCAAATAGATTTTCCCCCTCACCTTGCTTTTGTCTTTTATTAAAAGAGGATTCATCATGCAGCCTTTTAAAGAAAATCAGCCTATTAGTAAGTGAAACAAAGCTGAGCTGCATTCTGCCTAGGAGCAAATCACATCTGTATGTGATGTAAGTCATGGTGGTAACATCTGAGGCAGCACTTCAACTCTATTTCAAAGGTTCAAGTGGTACTCAATTAGTACCTAGCTCCTGAGTTACCTACTGCAGACAGGTGAAATTCACCTGCTATTTTAAAATAGTGTAATTATACTATTTTCCAAGGTGTTTTGAGGAGTTGCTAGTCAACACGTTACAAGACTCGGTGTTTATCTTTTGTGTCATGCGTCAGAGGTAATTACTTCACAAACTAGGTGTGTCACTGGGAAGCACTGAAAACTCCCTTTGTTTCAGGTTACCTGAATGCCTCAGTATGGGAGGTGAGCAATAACCAACCTGATCCCCTTCTCCTCCAGTGAGGCCTCATAGAAATTACTGGGAATGGTAGCCTCTTTGTTTCTGAGTTACTGGCCTTAAGGTAGCTGGGGCTGATTAGATAAGGTGACTCTATCTGCAGCCTTGATATAAAATGAATTTAGTTTGCCCTCACTGTATAGCAAGGTCATTGAAAACTAATTAAGGACGTATGTATCCATTTGTAAATTGTAAATGAGCTGTTTGCTGTGAAACACAAATAGCTTTTTCTCATGAATGAATATTTAATTGAGGTACAGTTCTAGGTAAGTCCTTACAAAATATCAGACTTAGAATTCAGATCTAGTGAAAGTTGGCAGTGTTCTGCTTTGTTTAGCAATGTCTCTCTGCTTCTACCTGCTTTGTATTTGGTCTTACATATTTATTGGTGCCCGCCTGTTTTCAACATTATTGTGTTATCTCAAAGCAAACAGAGGATTTCCCAAGAGATAGGAGGATTCTTGTACTTCAGCCTCCAGCTTAGTGTCTTACTCATATACCAAGGTCCAAATTACCCTCCTTTATCCACAAGAGAAGCCTCCATTGAATATTCTTTTCTGATTCTGCATTGGTTGTTCCCTGTGCAGACTGAATTGCCTTTGGACAGCTGCAGTCTGTGGAGAGCAGAAAGAGCTTTTGCACCTAACATCACTTTGAAATGCTCTTTTCTCTAATAAGCAAGTGAAGCAGAGTAGGAAGGCTGGTGTAGTGCCAGTAATAAGCAGCAATCCTGATATTACTTTTTAACACTAACCAATCTTATGCTACAAAGCGTTCAAAGGGAGAAAGGTCTTGTTGCATAGAGCATTTAAATATTTGAAACTAGGCAAAAAATGGTGAAAACATCTTGGAAGAGATGGTTCTGAGTGGAAAAGAGGAAAAAAATGGGACCATCTGAGATTTACCAAGTAACCTCTGCATCAAGCAATTCCTTATGTTTCAATTAGGGAAAAATGAGGGAAAACCCTCTTCTACTGTGTTAGTTGGCATAAAACATCAGAGTAATGTACAGCTTATATTACTGACAGGTGAGGCAAGAACTATATTAGATCTTGGCTCAGTATTTAACTGTAAATTGTGTTACTGACAGTGCACCTTCTGAAGTGGAATCAGAAAACCAATTACAGTCAATGCAAACAACCTCACAACTTATACTGAAAGTGGAGAGAACTGGAAAGGTGGTAGAATCACTGTCAATTAGTCCTGAGTCTGAGATTTAAGGCCTTTTAACATTAGAGTCTTGATTTGAGAATCACTGGGTGAAACTCAACAGCTTACTTTACGCTGAAAGTCAAACAATATGGTCCTTCTGATCTTAAAAGCTGTGAGTCAGTATGATATCACAGGAAAAGAAAATATACTTGATATCCATTAATTGTACATTTTATTCTGTGTGCCCTGAAATTCTGAATTTTGACACTAGTTGAAATAGCTTGTTACTTTATTTTTGTATTCCTACAGCATCATCCTTACAGTGAGAGCAATAGAAATGTCAGTGATGTAAATTTTTTCTCTCGATCATCCAGTGGAGGCTTTTTTGCCTTCACCTCCCTTCACTACTCATGCCTGCTGTAGGCACACATCTGCGTTCCATTTGTGAAGCAAATGAACTAAGTTGGTCAACATTATTTGACCCGCTCTTTTTGTCAACGCTGTCTTTATACATCTCTGGTTTGATGCTTAAAAAAAAAAGAAGAGCTGGTCCCTGTGGAAATAATTCAATCTTGCAGGGGGTTATTTGAAATACATGGCACTGAACTCTGCTTCTAATCAGACTCCAAATAAAATAGCACAAAGGAAGATATCAAGGTAAAATAGAGATTACCTGTGCAGGGGAACTCCCTTCCTCTTTCCTTTCTTATCGTATGCATTAAGATCATTATTTCATTTTGAGACGTAAAAGCTGTGTTGCCCCTAGTTTCCATTTGCTTCAAGTCTTGGACAAACACGGCTAGATTTACATGTGTAGAATAATCTTTACAAATCCAGTACATTGTGAGCATCTATTGTCACTTAATACATTTTTAAACAATGCTTTGTAATGTGATTGTTCTCATTCAACAGATTGAGCAAATTATTACTGCTTTTTTATTATTTATTTTCACTAATAAAATCAATAATTCACTGTGGATTTCAGTTACAGAGACAATTATTATAGATTTTCCTTGCTTGATCACATGCATGTTTAAACCGTGTTCATCTAGTATGTCCTTGTACAACTCCATCATGGTCAAGCAGATTGTCATGTAATCTCAAGGAATAATTGTGGGTGCAGCCTGAAAACAAAATGAATGCAAAGATAAGGGTCTCCCAGCATGTAACTACTGGATCATTTAACAGCATTTATTTCCAGGCCTGAATTCACCTAACCATTTCTTAGCACAAACTCACACTTACTGGAAAAACACATTAATTGAACTTGGCAGAAACTTCTCATTTAAGGAACAACAAAAAATGAGGAACAAGCTTTGAGCTCTTTTACCATGTATATCCCCTTCAAAAGAAACAAAAGAGACCTCGAGAATGTCAACAGTGCTTTGAAAGAAAACGCTCGTCCACTGTGACCTGAATTTGTCGGGTTTTCATTAAGCTCAGTGTGGGTAGTAAGGAAGGAGCTCTCAGTTCAAGCAGAACTGGAACTCAACAGATCCTTGGCCACTCTTCCTGGAGCATGACAGTGCAGGAATGCCAATGTTTCAGGAATTCTAACTGGGAATAAACTGCCTATTTACGGTCGTGCACAATGAAACAAGCTACTGTCAGTAATACCATATGATTACTTTTCCTCCTACAGCTCTTAGAATTGACAAAGAAAATGATCCTCTTGATTTTAAACTTATACAAAGTGGTTCAGAATGTGGTATCCTTTCTTTTTTCTACTATATTGAATGCATGGCCTATAAGTAGTCAGAAGGAAGTCACTCTATGTTTCCAGTTAGAAAAAATCCCAGGAGTAAAACTGCAAACTAATCACCAGAGATGATGCAAGACTATTCCAACCGTGCTTGGAAAATTTGAATAATACTTCCTATATTCAGAAACAAGAAATTCAAACCTGCCTCTTACTGAGAGCATTGATTTTACGTGGGCAACCAAGAATGTTTTTCTTAGGACATAAGAGTCCATGCTTCCTAATTTCAGGATAATCACACTTAGGAAGATGTGTTTTAATTAAAACGTGGCTAGCGCCAGATCTGTTAAGCAAAACCACTTTATACTGATAGGATTTTCTTGAGAAAATTCTGTCCAGTTCTTTGAATTCATAAATGCTTTACATCAAGTTGAAACGTTATTACAAGCAGAAGAGCAACACTAAATTGTTTTTCTCCTTAAAACTGATGAAAGATCTTAAAATACAGTTTGGTTAGAGGGCAGTAAGGCACAGGAGCTGTTACAGGGAAGAAAACAGAAACTGGGTCCTGCTACTGACCTGCTGAGCAATCTAGGTCCTTTCATCACCTCTCCTGCTTTAGTAATTCCTGTAAATTGTTAGTAATGCTATACTCTTAATAGAGCAGGTTAAGAACAAGTGTTGGATCAGAGCAGCTGTTAATCCTATAACTCAAAGGCTTCATTTTGATTTGGCTCTTATGCTTGTGAGGTCTGGCACAAAATGCTGTAGTTAGGGTGCCTATGAAAGCTTCCTCCTGCTTAGCCAATGCCTAAATCCAGAATCAACTGTGTATTTTTGTTGTGTGGTTTTTTTTTTTAATGTAAATTTCCCAAACTTCTACATTTATATCTGTTTTTTCATATTTCTAGCCCTAGATTGTCCTGATGAGAACTGATTTCATGCCTGCTCTCACATTCCTTTACTCCCAACTCAAATGGCAATTCAGTCTGTAAGCATTATCAGATAGTGCTCATCAGTATTACACGTGATGTCCGTGCTCCAAAAATTCAGTGTCAGGACACTGTCAAGAAAGCCACAGAACTGAGAGCTTTCATCCCCTCTCTGGAGATGTGAGCTAGTCTGGATTTACTGTGTCTGCAAAGGATGAATAGACTTTTGTATAAAAGGGAAGGAAGGGGTAGCATTATATACCTTCCCATCCATTTGGGGAGGGAAGTAGGGAGTGAAATGTAAAGGAAGAAACTCAGGGACCCAGAAGAGAGTTTCTCACTGTAACAAAAACAACTTGCTGCCCTGCTGAACTGAGAGTTTAGCAACTCACAGTGCTCTGTAGCCAAGGTGGTTTGAAAACACACCTTGCAAAAGGCAAAAGCCCAGGAAGGAGGCTAAGGCTCTCTAACAAATGTTCCAACATGGCAATTGTTCTTTTCCCTTCCACAGACGGCAGTACTGCCTGTATGGGTTCAACATGTTCTTGTTGGTTGGGTTTGGGTGGAGTGGTGTTGAGTAAGCTGGTAGTTATGGATACCATTGAGGTATCTATCTTTCCCCATATACTGCAGGTGATTGTGGGAGAATGGCACAGGGTTATGTGCTGTGGCAAACAGGAACCTAGAGATTGTATGTTGCCACATTTAACTATTAGTCACCTAAATTCCTTTTGCCTCTGCCTTTTTGTAGTTAGGAAGCAATTGTAACTGCAATAAAAATTCCTATTTTTTCAATCAAGCCAAAATATGGTATTAACAGCAAGGAACGAAAATACCTATGTGCTTTTTGCACCTATATGCCCCCACAAAATAATCCAAGACCACCACATAGCGTTCCGAGTGAGAGTGGCAACAACTAAGTTCTTACAGTATTCCTTACAATCGTTTCTTGGGCTCAGCAGTCTGCCCAAAACAGTGATGTTCTGGTCTGCTCCACATCCAGTACCATCCTACTGAATATGGCATGAGTCCCACCGTAAACTTACTGCTTAAAGGAGGAAGTCTCCTCACAAACCATATGTTGTCAAATTAATCTGATTAAAGTTTATCTTGGTGGGATTGTTCTATCTGAAAACAGAGGCTCTAGCTGTTTCCCAAAAATGTTTTATCTCATCTCCCTCACAAGCCATTTAACTTTGATTGTTTTTTTCTCACCTGCTGTTGCAAGCTGCTTCACATATGGCTCAGTTTTGACAGTAAAGCCCTCACTTGCTTCCTAGGATCACACAAGAAGAAGGAAATATAGCAGTGGGTTCTATCAGTCTCCGTTCCCCTCCGTTCTCTCAAATGTGAAGCAAAGGTGATTTTTTTACTTGAATGTGGCACTATGAGTGAGTGCCTAGCACCATCTCTGATGCAGGACTTGGAGGAAAACACAGGACTGTGTTTTTGTTACCATCCCTTGGCATTCCCCAGGGTCTCCACAACCCTGTATCTTTGACACGTGCTGGCTGCTACCTCGTTTTGAAGCTTCCAGTTCCTTTTCTTGAAACGAGGATATCGAAGACAGCAGCTTGTATCTGCACGTTTCCTTAATCTCACAGCTCACCTGCATGCCATTGCCGGCACACCGGAAGACCTGTGTCCTATAGTCCGTTGCCCGTGACAACGTAAATACGATCTGTTCTCACACCCCAGCAGGCGGGAGGCCACGGCTCCTGCAGGTAAAGCAGCTGGGGGCTCTGCAGGAGCATGGCGGTGGATGAGGAGCGGGGGGCACAGGCGCAGTGCGTTGTGTCCGTGTGTTGTGTGCCTACGGATCGGGTCGGTTGGTCGCGCAATCTTGACCCAAGAGCACGGCCAGCTGAAGCAGCCTTCTCACTTTGTAGTTTCTAAGCTTCGGTGGATTCTCAAACTTTTATTTCATGCTGAAAATGCGCTTTAATACAAAAATCCATCCTGCCTTTTGTTTGAAGTAATTGATTTTGGGCTTCGGGAAAACAACAACAACAACAAAATAGCAGCTTTTAGAGACTGGCGATCGAGCACACGAGTCGCCCACGCTCTAACACCAAAGCGTCTTCCTTCCCTCTCCCCCTTGCCAGCTTGGCAACCGCCAACCCCGCCGTGGGGGGCAGGTGCCGGTGGGGCGCGGCCCGCCGCCATGTTGCGCTGAGGGTCTCCCGCTGAGGGCCGAAGAGCGGCCGCGCGGCCGCCTCCGCCTGCCGGGTGCCGCCCGCCGCACCTGTCGCACCGCTCCGAGAGCGGTCCCGCCCGGGCCGGGGTCTCCAATCCGCGCCCCGAGGTGTCGAAGCGCGGCCGGCGGGCTGTCGGGCCGCTGGGCGAGGCCGCTCCGTGCTCGCAGAGCGCAGGGGGGAGCGGCGGGGAATGGCCGGTGGCGGGTGAGTCACCGCAGGCTCCACCTGCGTACTTAACCGCCGCCGGGCGGCCGGCGCCGCACTCGCGAGTTGTGTCGTCGCCGTGGCCGGGAGCGGCTCTCACTCCTCCTCCTCACGGGGCGCTCGGCTGAGGCGGGGCAGCTGCTGCATGAGCGTTGCTCTCTGGAGCTGCGGAAGCACCGACAGCGCTGAAAATGCCGAAACCGGTAAGCGAGGCGCGGGGGGCTGCCCGGGTGCCCTGGGCAGCTTCGCCGGGGCTCTGCCGAGACGCCCAGGGAAGCTCCGCGGGGCGCGGACTTAACCGCGAGGAAGCTCCGGAACCACCCGAGCGGCCGCTTGGAGCGGGAGGAGCGGCCGGAGCGGCTCGGTTCAAACGCGGAACCGCCCCAGGGAGCCATGCTGAAACTCGGGCCGCTCGCCCGGCGGCGGTTGGAGGGGAGGGCCGCGCCCTGGGGGCGCTGAAGGCGCTCCGCCGCCGTGCCCGGGAGGGAGCCGGCATCGGCGGGAGGCTGCGGGCGTCGGTGCGCTGCCCTCGGGGCGCCCTGACCGGGATCGCGCGGAGCTCTCCGGGCACCGAAAGGAAGGGCTTACTGTGCTCCCGCGTCCGTGAGGTGGCAAAACTGCAGCGGTTCTCACTTGGTATTTGTGAACGCTTAATGACAGGTCCTCGTTTCCTGCCTTCGTGATTAAAAAATTAAGTCCCGAGGAATCATAGTACCGTTCCCCACAGTGCTACCGCTGGGTCTGTTGCCAGGTAGTCTCTAGCAGTCTTCATTAAGACCTTTCTCCTCTTTTCTTTCCTTTTTTTTTTTTTTTTTTTTTTAATTGAACAAACTTGAATACTTTCAAACTTTTTTTGTTTTGTTTTTTGTCCTGTGAGCCCCCTCCTGCGTCGGTTTTCTCATGGTGGTGGTGGTTGGTTTTTTTTTGTTTTTTTTTTCAGATTGTTTTGCTTTGAAATCTGCTGCCACCCTGGCAGTTAGAAACGGTAACTCCCTTGAGGAGCTGGCTGGTGCAGAGCTGTCTGCACTCATTGATGCAGGCAGCTTTGGAACTCTGAAGAGTATAACCAGAGCAGATTGTTGCTGTCTGTTTCCAACAGAGGCAGTACTTAAAACACAGCACAGTGAAGAACTTCCAAGATTATTAGCTACACCCTTTGGAAGGAGACTAGGCAAGCTTATCCTTGGGGTAATAAGCAATGGATGTTCTGCCACTGTAACACTAAATTTAACTTAGTTAAGGAGAGCTTAGATTAATTTACATTGCAGTTTCTGTTAACTTAGGGGAAAAAAAAAAGAATTCTTTCTTTTTTGAATTCTTCGAAGAAGTGCTGAGCCTTCATTCTCCCTGGATGTATTTAAACAACAGGAGGTGATACTGGGAGCCATGAGTAGGTGTGGGAAAAATCTCTTTATCTCTCTGCGGAAGGACAGCCGTGCTTTAATGGTTTCTGAGACGTGACCTACTGTCCAGGATTTATGGAGAAGACTCTTTGTCCAGAGTTTGTGTGGTATAAGCTGTTCTTTTTGCAGTCTGCATTCAATCCTCCTTCTCAGGGGGCTGACTGCCACCTTAGCGGATGCATACAAGGAGAATTTTGTGGAGGTTTTTTTTAACAGAACACTTTGGTCTGACTGCTGCAGATCGAGACTGTATTCAAATCCTTCAAATCCAGCTCATTTGTTCTTAATACAGCTAAATGGGATTCCTATCACTTTACAGGGTGAGGTGGGAAGGGGTGTGAAGTTGTCGCTCCAGAGCAGAACTGTACTCAGAAGGAGCATGATAAGAGCCTTTGATGTGTGTGGGGACTGATACCGTGAACTCATAGGAAATGAGGAGGCAGTTTTTGTTTGATAGATCAAATACATGGGTACTAAATAGATTCTACCTATACTTGTTCGCGTGTGTCTTGTCAGCTTGGAATAAGGATGTACAGTGTTGTTTGTCAGACTTCATGCTGATAGGGATGTGGTTTTACAATCAGTTGTCATCTTAAAATTTTTATTTCTAAGCAGAAAATAATCACCAAGATTTTGGCAGTTGTTTTCTACCTGTCCCCAAAGCAGCAAAGGTAAACCTCCATACAGAGCTTTTGTGGTAACAAAGAATATGCACACAGAAATCTTACAGACTGGAATTTAGTCTTTCATGGTAAATAAGTCCAGTGACAGTAAAACATGAGTGATTTTGTATTCTAGTACTTTAATATGGTACATTACTAAAAAGCCAGATTCTGTACCAGTGCTTTATTGCTGTTTGTTGGATCAGGCACATGTCTAGGGTGCTCAAAGTAAGTCTTGGCAACGTTTCAGGAAATAATTCTGAAATCTTCTTTGGTAATAAAAGCCAGTGTTAATTTCTAATTTTAATTCAACACAGACTTTCTGCCATGTGTAACAGTTACAGAGTAACAAGGTCTCTGGGGTAAGCTGTAAATATGTAACTTCTGGTTCCCAGCTCTTAAGAGTTTTTAGCTGGAAGTTCACCAACAGTTCAGAAGCTTAACTTCCATCTAGTCTGTGCAATAGTTCATAAGGTTTCACAAATGGTGAATTATTACATAAAGAGACACGAGATGTTATCTTGTTCAAATCTTGCTTTGTTTTCTGAGAAGAAGCAAAGTGTGCAATAAACTGACTTGATCAGCCTTGCGTCTTTTCATTACTGGAGTGTCTGTGTGCTCACTGTTTTTCCTTGATCCATATGTTGCTGGCTTATTTCTGTTTGACTCGTTGCATGGATGGTGTTCTAGCTGAATTACATCCTTTGGCAAAGCAAGCCAGTCAAATAGAGCCACAGGGCTGTGGACTACTGAACATTACTTACAGAAGGAGAAGGAAATGTGATCTCTGCTCTATAGACCTGTTAATTTGATCTGACCTATCAGCATTCTGTGGTACTTTTTTGAAATAAGATTATTCTTCCTACTCTTAGAAAATGTTGGGGGGGCGGGGGGGAAGAAAGCATCACAAGAAATGATGTCAGCTTTGCAGTAGAGCATTTGATGTAATGTCACATAAGAACCTTTAATACTTGTCTACATTTTTATAATACTCTTAAAGAGAGGTCAGTAATAAACGCAGTCTATCAACTTCTGCTGCTAAAAGAGAGTGCAGGGGAATATATCAGGGCATCATTTTCTAACATGTATACTAATAGCCTATGTTCAAAAAGCTGAGCATACCAACAATATCTCCCAGTGGTGGTGGGGGGGATATTGTTGATGCAGAGAGCCATCATATGTAGGAGTATAAAGCACATATGTTTAAAAACAACAACAAAAAAACCCACAAAAAACAAAAACCCCTCCCATTTCAGTAATTAAACTTGGAAGGGTGGTGGAAAGAGTTCCCTCAATGTATGGGATAGAATGATATGAGTTAGTTGTCGATAGGATGGACTGTCTTGTCCATTGATCTGCAATATATGGAGTTTCCCTGATGGAAAGCAGTAATGGAAGGTGTTAGAAAATTTCTTGAAGGTAGGTTGTCATTCTTATCCTTGTCAAGAAAACACAAATCCTAAGCAGAACCTGGAGAGGGATTTGGGGTTGATTGTAGGAGGAAAGCCTCCTTCCAAAAAGGGAGTAGTTTAGGTTAAAATACAAAGGATTTAAATGCCAAAGAAAGGGAGGAATTACTTTAAGCAAGGCTTATAGTTAAGGGGACTTGTAGATATCAGTGCAGTTCAGTTTCTGGTTGCTTTCTCCTCCTCCTATAGCGTTCTAAGACCTAATGCCCTTAAGAAGAAGTCTGACGAGGACACAATGTAGTGCTGCTGCCTGTAGGAGTGCGCAGCTGGAGCACATGACTCAAAAGGCTTTTCCCAGTTCTGTGTTATTATTAATGTGCTAGTGTGTGCCTGGCACCAAGTGGTTAGACGAGTCTTCCATACCTGTTTGCTATTGAATATACATGCATTCTAAAAATGAACACGAGGACAGCATGTAAGTCTTCAAGCCAAACCTTTATCTGTCTGTGAACACCTAATGGCATTACCATTCAGAGTTTGTCATGACCCAACTAGAAAAACTAGAAGTGTAGCAACAGGGATTTACTCTAAATGCTAATAATTGTTGATACTTTCCAGATCTTCACAATTTCTTCTTAACTGTGTCTTCTAATTGCACGTAATAGTTTTGTCTTCAATTTCTTCAAAGCCGATTTCTATAACAGGGCTGAAATTAAAAAAAAAACAAACAAACAAAAAAAAACCCACCCTTTAGTGATCACAAGTAATTATCATGCTCTTGGCTTATAGATAGTTATGGATTTATGCAGGAATAAGGTTTTTTTTTTTTCTTCTGAGCACAAACTGCAATACATCAGATGATACAATATTTAGTGCACTTACTACTAAATGTGCACGCTCTGGTGCAAAATGGAAGAAAGCTAGTATCAACCAAGTGTGCAAAGTCTCACTCAAAGCTTCAAAAGGAAGTCGAAGGATTCTATTAATAGTGAATGTAGGGAGTAATTCACAAATGGTTAAAGTTAGAAGAGAGTGAGCTCACAATTGTGCCAAAATCCAAATTACCGTATGAGCTGAATAAGCATTCCTGAGGTCAGTCTGTTCTTGTTAGCTGCCTTGGAGAAATCAAGTGTTAACTGTTAGTGTTAGTCACTACATAAAGAATTTCTTAGCCTTCTTAAAGGGCAGAGGGTGGAGATAAGCCTTCCTGTTCTACTTCCTCCCATGTGAACATCTTCCTCTGTTCACAAAAATAAATAAATAAAAAATCAGTGATATGTCAGGACTTTTTGAGAATAATTCTTCTTGATGGCCGCTGAAGGTTCCTGCTT